CAATTCAGTGGAACCAGCGGGGGAATAGGTCTCGGTTTAGTTTTGAGGACTTTTGTTAGTTTCCAAAAGGGTTCTGCACAATCTGGGAGGGAACGGATGTTATTGGCAAAATTCTAGGCACTTCGTCATTTTGGTTCCAGGGATTAGGTTTTCCAACAAGACTCGGCACCGGCTCACAAAGCGAAGAAAACCCAACTCTGGATTGCGGCACATTTTATGGTATGTTGGAGGCCGAAGTATGCTCTAAAAAACTTGAAGGTGTAGAAGTCCTGAAGCGGCGGTAGCCTGGGATAAAATATCACAAGAGCACATGCGGGCCTTGTACTATGCGTTCCTCGATCGTCTGCGGTGAGTGGTTGAACTCAAGGGCGAACAAGTTGAACTTGAACAGTGAATTTTCAAAAAGTGATTTGTTTTCAAGTGAAATTGAATGAATTTGAAAAATGTTTTTGTTTAGATCAATTTATCTGTTTGTTTCAATGTAGTACTTAAATTGCCGAACCATGTATAGGCTTCCCTGAAGTTCCGAGACTTCTCTGAAGTTCCAAAAATTTTCCTGAAATTTGCAGAATATTCCTGAAGTTTGCAGAACTTTCCAAAAACATGCTGAGTTTTCTTGAAGCTCGCAGAATTTTATCCAAGTTAATAAAAGTTTTCTGAATTTAATTTTTTTTTTCCAGCAGTTTATTAAATTTTTCCGAAGAATATACGCTGATCTTTCCTAAAATTACCAGATTTGTTTTGAAGTGAACTTTCAAGTAAATCTCTGAATTTTTCATAACTACACAACATTTTCCTGAAGGCTTAGAATTTCCTTGGAGTTTGCAGAAATTTTCTAAAAGTGAGCTGACCTTTTTTTTGAAGATCGTAGCATATTCCTGAAGTATGCAATATTTTATTATAGCTTTGATAACTTTCTTGTACTTGTGCACTGTACTGTTGGAAACTCACATATGTTTTTAAAGTAATTGTTTGCTGAGTAATGTTGGAGTTAGTAATTTAAGAAATCCACAGACTTTCCTGAGTCCATTAGAATTTTTCACAGTTCACAGACTTCACAGATAAAATTTTCTTCAATTCGTTAAAAATTTACGAAAGTTAACAAAAGTTCCCTGAAGTTTACTAAACCTTCATGTTGTGTTCAGAACTCTCTTGATGTTCGCAAACATTTTCGCATGTTTGTAGAACGTTCCGGAAGTTCACAGTTTTCTATAAAGTTTACAGTCTTTTTAAGGTTCACAAACTTCCCTGATATTTTCTGAGATTTCCTGAAGTTCACTGAATTTCCTGGAGTAAGCGGAATTTACTGAAGTTGTCTGTATTTTCATTGAAGTTGACGAATTTTTTTTAAGTTCCTAAACTTCGCTGAAATGAGTAGAATTTTGCAGACTTCCTTGAAGTTCACAGACTTATCTGACATTCCCGTATTTTTCCTGGAATTTGTAGAATTTTCCTTAAGTTTCAGGACTTTCCAGAATCTTGCGGTTTGTTCAAAAATGTAGAGACGCCCTTATCTACTGTTTATCCAGGACTCTGGAGAAACAATCAACTGCTGAAAATGGCCAAAGTTCTTTAAATAAGGTCCGGAACAACAGGCTTGATGGTGTTAGTGAAATGTTCAAATCTTTTTACACGAAACAGCTGTTGGCTGTAGCGGCGCCGGTGGTGTAATGGTAAACGTGATAACCAGTGGGCGCCGCCGGGATTTTCTGAGGCATACAATCGCTGATCACGCCTTTATTCGGAACGGAAGTAAACCTATTGGTCCTCGGTCCATGTGTCGATGGGTCGATAGGTAGGGTTCAGACTTAGGAGCTTCCTCCCTGGCATCAACAGCAGTGGTGCTCAGAATGGAAAACAAGATCGACGGAAAACAAATCAAGGAGATCCATCCAGAACGATGCGCAACCAAGTGGTACTCGATTATGACGTCTGGGTTAGGGAAAACGATTGAATAAAAACAGTGACGAATTGACCACTTCATCAGTACATTTTTCAATTGTGTTTTTATGGAATATTGGAAAAGTATTTATTTCAGCATATTGGAAGAGTTATGTCCTATCGATTGGTGTATTTGGATTTTAATTTCATCTATAAATGACAAAGTTACAAATGTTCAAACCCTAACACCTTTTTGTGACGGTTGCAATTTTAGATTTTCGGTTTATCCCCTGTATCTTCCCGTAAGACGTAGGTCTACGTCCAAAATCTGCGTAACTTACTTTAAAGGCCAAAAGGATTTTCGACTTAGAAAGCTTCCACATGGCCTTATTTTAGATTTTTGAACTATGACGAAGTTTGTAAAGTGGGATTAAAGTTAATGTTAAATTCGATACATCCATGGCTTACTGAATTTTGACTCAAGATTCTGGACACCTTCCGGGATTATCTCTAATGGTTTCCTCTCATTTGACCGAATGACCATTTAGCTGAATGTTCATTACGCCGAATTTCAGCACTAGATTTACATTACGGATGTGGATTTTGGAATGATTTTGGGATTTCCTAGATACTTTTCTTCATGAACCTCAGAAGGTTTTTTCGACTACCCCGACTTTCAAACGTGATGATACTTTTTTTTCGTTCCTATAATCATAAACTTGCCTGTGAGAGAAGTGAACCCGTCGCGACGACCACCTGCTGTATTATCATTTAATATTGATAGCTAGTGCAAATGTTCACCATAATGATTTCTTTTGTTATAATTAACAGTAAGCAACACGTTTTTTACCTTCATATATGTACATACTTGGAAAAATCTTCATGAAAACAGCAAAACGTAACAAAACATTGAGGTACATTTTTTGAAAATTTATTAAGCATCCCCTTGGATCCCCCTATGAATTGTATATGAAACAGTAAGGTATAAGTTGCTGAATGAAATGATGTTGTCATTAGCTGCTAATACCTGCTAACCTGCAAGGTACACCCCCTTAAAGATAGTGTAAAAAAATTGTAATAACTGACGTAAATCCTTTAAACAAAGAGATAGCGATTTACTGTCTTGTGCAAAAATGTGCATTTTCTAAGCACTTGCAACTTTGTAGAATATTTAAAAAACGAAAAAATTCAAAGAAAAAAGTTATGGTGAAAAAACGTTTTTTAAGGGGGTACTACCGTTTGTAGTCCATTTTCACCCTATAACTTCGTCCACTTGAGAGATAGAAAGTTTACACCTTGGACAAAGTTTCATAAAAAGACTTCATCTTCAATGTTTCGAAAGGTGTTCATCAAATTTAACTAGACCTAAAAAAGTTATTTTTTTTATCTGAGTGTATACCCTCCTTAATCAAAAAATTTTACTACTTAAATAAAGTACTTAAAAAATAAAGAAACATTCTAGAAGACAAAAAAAGCTATACTCAATAGTTTCGTCGCAAATAGCCATGTCCCACTTTTTTTGAATTCGTCCCACTGTGCGTCGGCCCAAAACTAAAGTATTATTCTGAAGATCCTCAACTGATGATGGCATCGAAACGGCTACCAAAAGGGCTAGTAGAATGGTGCCACTAACTACTTTCGGACTTGAATATCAAATTGGGATTAGAAATGTTCCCAATGGTTGAGTCGCCCTTCGGGCATGTTGAACTATGTGTGGGGCTTAAATCCTACTAGGAAGTGACCGGTTCTTCGGGCTTCCATGTCCGATTGTTCGGATGACAGTGACGTTAATGGACGCAAATTAAGGCACATCTCAACTTGCGCTAGTAAGGCTGGTATTGCCGATTTCCTTGAGGAGGTGGATCTTCGCGGACATTGGCCGTGGCCTCCCAGAGTGCTGCAAAATTAGGTGCTCGTGGTGCTCACCAAGCGAGGATTTGGTTTCGGTTATGCTCGTCGTGCTTCAGCATTCGATATACTTGATGAAGGGCGTGTGACGCTCCCTCAATGTGGACGTATAGCTTCGTTGGACCATGGAAACGCCGATTTGACATAAAACAGACGACAGTAGTCTACATCACAGACGGAGAAAGGACGTGTCGGAGTGACATGGGAAGCTGGAATATCTGCAACGGTTTGCTGTATCAACTTCGGCTTGCTGCGGATGCAAGTGATGCTTTGATGGTAGGTGCGTCTGACAAGGTTTCTTCCATCCAGAGTCCAACAATTCTGGCGAAGGATAGTAAAGTAAGGTTTTGTGGCAGTGTGCAGCGAGCATAGACGCTTACGAATGCTTGGAGCTTAGGACAATAGGGTGCTTGACAGACTCAGCTTGTTCGGGATTGCCAAGATGTCCTCTATTCGAATTCATCAACGTAGGCCCTCAACCGTTTCAGTGGACTCGATTTCGATACGTTTGTACGAGCGCTGCGCTCTTCTTGAAAGCTTTACAGCTGCACTAGACGACATAGGATTCGGTTGGCAGAGAGGACTTCGTCAGAGTTGAGTGGCTGAGTTGAGTGGTTGTTGGAAGCAACTCCGTGATTTCACTTGTCGACAGAGTAGAAGATTGGATTCGGCTCACTCGATTTACTCCGAACGTTTTTCAACGTCCAGGCGATGATCAAATCCGACCAGAAGCTGGTGGGTGGAACAGTTTGCAACGACGAAGTGGCCTTTGTGTACAGCTGCGTGGAAAGATGACATGCTCATAGTTCCAGTCTGACTATCGTATGGCGTGCTGCGAAGGGTGAAACCTTGGACTTGGGGATCAGCAGTTTAACGGACACTTCTTGGAAAGATCCACTTCGACCTTTTCTCCATTAGACCAATTGTCCATTCGACGTTTTGTCCATCTAAGTTCAATGAATCATTTTGTCTCTTCGACCTTTTGTCCTACAACCAACCAGGGAGTATAGATTCCGGCGAGTAAAGTTGCCTTGTGCAACTAGTAAAACTTGTTAGATGAATCTAACAACACAAATATTTTGAATCTGTTCCGAAACCGGATTTGAACAACCGAATGAAACCACACATTCGTTGAAGCACTCATATTTATCAACTGTCTGCATCTTAAACTTGCCCCTCTCACACCATTTCCATCCAATCTTTCATTCCAGAACGAGGAAGGCACCTGCTGCCGTCTGCGGGTGAAGGTCATCGCAGGACATCAGCTGGCCAAGAAGGACATCTTCGGTGCTAGGTAGGCTACCCAAACAATCAACCTTCGTATCTATCACCCTTAACCGCTTTCTTCATAACCCCGTGAATCCACAACAGTGACCCGTACGTCCGGATCGACCTCAACACCATCACCGGAGACGAGAACATCGATTCGGTGCTGACGAAAACCAAGAAGAAAACCCTCAACCCCAAGTGGAACGAAGAGTTCATCTTCCGGGTGAAACCGAACGAGCACAAGCTGGTGTTTCAGGTATTCGACGAAAATCGCCTCACCCGGGACGACTTCCTCGGCATGGTGGAACTGTCGCTCAGCCAGCTGCCGAAGGAAACCGAAGGTGTTCAGGTTCCGATCAAAAGCTATCCACTGCGGCCCCGAAGGTCAGTAGGGTATGTTTGAGTTCATTCAGTTTTATTTTCTCATGATTTGGTGCACTAATTTTGTTTTTGCTAGTTGTTTTTTTTCCTTTGATTTCCTCTTCGTTTTCTAGTTTGGAATGATTTCTTTATAATGAAGTTTGGTTCCGCTGTATGGCTTGCCTTAACAACTCACTGCAAATGGTTTTTGTTGCTTAACCTAATTGCAACGTCCGATGATCTTTTGGGGAGGTTGTCCACTTGATTCTAAACGGTTTCGTTTCTTCTTTTTTTCGCTTGTAGTGCCCGGTCCAAGGTGCGAGGTCAGCTGGATCTGTATCATGCCTACATCCAGGATCTGAACGCGTCCAGCGAAGCGGACTGGGAAATCATCGAGTCGAATAATTCAATCTCTAGTGTAAGTCGTGTGCGGTTGCCTTTGGAATTTGGCAGGGATTTTCACGAATGTGTGTGTGTGTGTCTTTGTAGAATTCTAATATCGCAAGCAGTGCAGCCGAAACGCTGCCATCCGGCTGGGAAGAGCGACAGGATGCCAACGGACGAACCTACTACGTTAACCATCTAGCACGGACGACGCAATGGGAGCGACCTACGGCCGCGTAAGTTGATTTGATATGAACACTTGAACGTTGAAGTTCTGTGAATGAAATGCTGTTAACATTTATAAGATCATCGTTCCAATTTTGTTCAGTGTAGAACCATCGTCAAATTTCCAAAACTACACCTCTTAAAATACTTCAAGATTTATACATTTATTCTTCTAGATCTCTAAGCATGCCCCAAAGGACTCATGAAACTGATAATAACAACCTCTATTTTTTATAAAACGTACGATCTATCCACATAACTTATTTCGCAAAATCTCAGGAATTTTCGGCTACTGAACTTTAGCTCCTATGGTCTCTAGAAATGTTCCACAAGACTAGGTCCATAGCTCGCAAGGTCCCAAAGTCTTCTTGGTCTGTTCCAGTAGACTTCTATAAGCCCTTTCGAGCTGACCTATAAGACCTGAGTTGACTCATAACATCTATGGAAATGCTTCATAAAATGTCTTGCCTTAAATCCTAGGACCTCAAAAGCTGATCCAGAAGGTCTGTGTATGACGTGGGACCTACGAAGTTGATTAATAAAATCCTCAAATTAGACTCACAAGACTATTTAAATCAATCGATAAGGATTCGAAACATGTGAGGGTGTTGGCAAAAAGCCACGGTTCATTCGATTTTATTATAAATAAACGGATGATTGGCAGGTGGAGGGCAGGAGATTCTAAAACCCCTCAAAAACTATCCACGATGAATGTGAACAGTCTCTAAGGCATGTTAAATTATCCCATAAGATTCGATCAGGCATCTACAATAATCCATAGGACACTTATAGTTTGACCCATAAGATATATAGGGGTCTTATATATAAGATATATAAGGCCCCTTGACTGAACTCAGCATAAAACATTGCCATTGGCTATGTGAACGTTTTCCATAAGGTTTCTGGAGTTGATCCATAAAATATTTTAAGTTATCGCATGAAGCCTTGACTTATAAAATCTTCGGAGTTATTACATAAGACCTCTGGAGTTGACTCAACATAACTCCATAAGGCATCTGGGTATAACCTTTAGGATCTGTTATCTCATTAGATTTCCGAAGCTGACCAAAAAAATCAACGAACAGAATCTATAAGACTATAGACTAAGTCCTCGTAGCCTATGGACTCATAAAATCAATCCTCTGAAGTTGCGGAGATATCTGGAGTTGATCCATGAAGTTCTATCGTAAGTCACTTTAATTGAGCAATAATACCCATAAAGTAACTCTTAAGACCTCGGAACTTGCTGATGTTTTCTGAGCCTTTTCAAACTATGTTGAAGATTTCTGAAGTTTTATGAACATCACTGAACCTCTCTGAAGTTTCTAGAAGCTCTCTCTGAAATTGTCCGAAGATCATTCTAGAGTTCTCTAAAGTTCCTCGAAGTTCTCTCTGAACTTCCCTGAAGTTCTCTCTGAACGTCGCTGAAGTTCTATTCGAACTTCCCAAAAGTTCTCTTCGAACTTCCCTGAAGTTCTCTTCGAACTTCCCTGAAGTTCTCTTCGAACTTCCCTGAACTTGCCACATTTTTTCTCACTCACTGAGTTCTTGAAGCGCTCTACAGTATTTTTGACTTTTCAAATCCGTAGTGTTTCTTTTGCACTTTTTATAAGATGTCTTGAAAACTGAAAAATTCATAGAATTTTAAGCTTGGTCCGAAGATCCGCAGACTTAACAACACAGGTTCTCTCTGAAGTTCCATGAAGTTTTCATTGAAGTTTCCAGAAGTTCTCGATGAGCTTCCTGAAGTTCTCTCTAAAAGAACTTCTCGCTGCAGTTCTCCGAATTTCTCTCTGCAGTTCTCCGAACTCCTCTCTGAAGTTCTCCGAACTTCTCTCCTTAGTTCTCCGAACTTCTCTATGAAGTTCTCCGAACTTCTCTCTGAAGTTCTCCGAACTTCTCTCTGAAGTTCTCCGAACTTCTCTCTGCAATTCTCCGAACTTCTCTCTGAAGTTCTCCGAACTTCTCTCTGAAGTTCTCCGAACTTCTCTCTGAAGTTATCCGAACTTCTCTCTGAAGTTCTCCGAACTTCTCTCTGAAGTTCTCCGAACTTCTCTCTGAAGTTCTCCGAACTTCTCTCTGAAGTTCCCCGAACGTCTTTCTGAAGTTCTTCGCGCTTCTCTCTGAAGTTCTCCGAACTTCTCTTTGAAGTTCTCCGAACTTCTCTCTGAAGTTCTCCGAACTTCTCTCTGCAGTTCTCCGAACATCTCTCTGATGCTCTCCGAACTTCTCTCTAAAAATCTCCGAACTTCTCTCTGAAGCTCTCCGAACTTCTCTCTAAAAATCTCCGAACTTCTCTCTGAAGCTCTGCGAGCTTCTCTCTGAAGTTCTCTGAACTTTTCTGTGAAGTTCTCCAAACTTCTCTCTGAAGTTCTCTGAACTTCTCTTTGAAGTTCTCCGAACTTCCCTCTGCTGAATTCCTCTAAACTTCTCTCTGAAGCTCTGCGAGCTTCTCTCTGAAGTTCTCCGAACTTCTCTCTGAAGTTCTCCGAACTTCTCTCTGAAGTTCTCCGAACTTCTCTCTGAAGTTCTCCGAACTTCTCTCTGAAGTTCTCCGAACTTCTCTCTGAAGTTCTCCGAACTTCTCTCTGAAGTTCTCCGAACTTCTCTCTGAAGTTCTCCGAACTTCTCTCTGAAGTTCTCCGAACTTCTCTCTTGAGTTCCCCGAACGTCTTTCTGAAGTTCTTCGCACTTCTCTCTGAAGTTCTTCGCACTTCTATCTGAAGTTCTCCGAACGTCTCTCTGAAGTTCTCCCAACTTTTGTTTGAAGTTCTCCGAGCTTCTTTCTGAAGTTCTCCGAACTTCTCTCTGAAGATTTCCGAGCTTCTCTCTGAAGTTCTCCAAGCTTTTCTCTGAAGTTCTCCAAACATCTATCTGAATTTCTCCGAACTTCTCTCTGAACTTCTCCGAACTTCTCTCTGAAATTCTTCGAATTTCTCTCTGAAGATCTTCGAACTTCTCTCTGAAGTTCTTCGAAATTCTCTCTGAAGTTCTTCGAACTTCTCTCTGAAGTTCTTCGAACTTCTCTCTGAAGTTCTTCGAACATTTCTCTGAAGTTCTTTGAACTTCTCTCTGAATTTCTCCAAACTTCCCTCTGAATTTCTCTAAACTTCTCTCTGAAACTCTGCGAGCTTCTCTCTGAAGCTTTCCGAACTTTACTGTGAGGTTCTCCGAACTTCTCTCTGAAGTTCTCCGAACTTCTCTCTAAAATTCTCCGAACTTCTCTCTCAAGTTCTTCGAACTACTCTCTGAAGTTCTTCGAACTTCCCTCTGAATGTCTCCGAACTTCTCTCTGAAGTTCTTCGAACTTCTTTCTGAATTTCTCCGAATTTCCCTCTGAATTTCTCTAAACTTCTCTCTGAAGCTCTGCGAGCTTCTCTCTGAAGTTCTCCGAACTTTTCTCTGAAGTTCTCTGAACTTCTCTCTGAAGTTCTCCGAACTTCTCTCTGAAGTTCTCTGAACTTCTCTCTGAAGTTCTCCGAACTTCTCTCTGAAGTTCTCCAAACTTCTCTCTGAAGTTCTCCGAACTTCTCTCTGAAGTTCTCCGAACTTCTCTCTGAAGTTCTCCGAACTTCTCTCTGAAGTTCTCCGAACTTCTCTCTGAAGTTCTCCGAACTTCTCTCTGAAGTTCTCCGAACTTCTCTCTGAAGTTCTCCGAACTTCTCTCTGAAGTTCTCCGAACTTCTCTCTGAAGTTCTCCGAACTTCTCTCTGAAGTTCTCCGAACTTCTCTCTGAAGTTCTCCGAACTTCTCTCTGAAGTTCTCCGAACTTCTCTCTGAAGTTCTCCGAACTTCTCTCTGAAGTTCTCCGAACTTCTCTCTGAAGTTCTCCGAACTTCTCTCTGAAGTTCTCCGAACTTCTCTCTGAAGTTCTCCGAACTTCTCTCTGAAGTTCTCCGAACTTCTCTCTGAAGTTCTCCGAACTTCTCTTTGAAGTTCTCCGAACTTCTCTCTGAAGTTCTCTGAACTTCTCTCTGAAGTTCTCCGAACTTCTCTCTGAAGTTCTCCGAACTTCTCTCTGAAGTTCTCCGAACTTCTCTCTGCAGTTCTCTGAACTTCTCTCTGAAGTTCTCCGAACTTCTCTCTGAAGTTCCCCGAACGTCTTTCTGAAGTTCTTCGCACTTCTCTCTGAAGTTCTCCGAACGTCTCTTTGAAGTTTTTAGAACTTTTCTCTGAAGTTCTCCGAGCTTCTCTCTGAAGTTCTCCGAGCTTCTCTCTGAAGTTCTCCGAACTTCTCTCTGAAATTCTTTGAAGTTCTCCCAACTTTTGTTTGAAGTTCTCCGAGCTTCTTTCTGAAGTTCTCCGAACTTCTCTCTGAAGATTTCCGAGCTTCCCTCTGAAGTTCTCCAAACTTTTCTCTGGAGTTCTCCAAACTTCTATCTGAAGTTCTCCGAACTTCTCTCTGAACTTCTGCGAACTTCTCTTTGAAGTTCTCCGAACTTCTCTTTGAAGTTCTCCGAACTTCACTCTGAAATTCTTCGAATTTCTCTCTGAAGTTCTTCGAACTTCTCTCTGAAGTTCTTCGAACTTCTCTCTGAATTTCTCTAAACGTCTCTCTGAAGCTCAGAGAGAAGTTCGGAGAACTTAATAAAAAAGTTCGAAGAACTTCAGAGAGAACTTATTTCTGAAGTTTTGCGAACGCTCCGAATTTCTCCCTGTAGCTCTCCGAACTTTTCGCTGTAGTTCTTGGAACTTCTCTCTGTAGTGCTCTCTAAAGTCTTCTTCTCTTCTGAAAGTCTTTGTACTAATTTCTGAAGTTCTTCGAACTTATTTCTTGAGACTTGAACTTTGACTTTTATTCTTTCTGAAGTTCTCCGAATTTCTTTCCAACGTTCTTCTAACTTTTGTCTGAAGTTCTTTGAACTTCTTTCTTGAGACTTGAACTTTGACTTTTATCTTAATTTTGATGAACTCCTCTCTGAAGTTTTTCGAAATTCTCTCTGAAGATTTAAGAACATCTCTCTGAAATTCTCCGAACTTTTGTCTGAACCTCTTTGAACTCCTTTCTTGAGACTTGAGCTTTAAATTTCATCTTAATTTCTATGAACTCCTCTCTGAAGTCCTTCGAAGCTCTCTTCGAACTTCTCTCTGAAGATTTTTGAACTTCTCTCTGAAATTCTTTGAACTCAGAATTTCTTGGATGTTCTGCTGCAGTTCTTGGAACTCCTCTATCAATTTTGAAACTTCTCTCTAAAGTTTCTGAACTTCTTTTTGTAGTTCTTCGAACTTATTTGGGAAGTTTGTCAAACTTCCCTTCCTCATTTTTTCGAATGTCTCTCTGAAGTAAATCATCACATAACTTACCAAATGTTTCCCCACTCTCCTTCCAGCTTAACTCAATCATCACAGGACAACGACATGGCAGCTGCCTTCCAGAGACGTGTTCATATCAGCGTAGACGACAACATCACGGTAAATATCCATCTTTGCGTCGATCTTCTTCCCAACACACATTTCCCCTCTTTTAAAATCAACCGTAACACAGAGTACCCTCGTTCAACATTAGTTTTTTTTTCAAAACTGCATGCCCTTCAGCCACTGACACTGTATTCCATATTTCCTGATTTCTTTAACGCATGCAAACTCATTTGTTCCGTTCGGTTGAACTTGTTTGTGGATATTGTCTTTTGTTTGCGCGACTTAAAATTTCCAAAGGACTACGAAAACACGAGCACCGACAACGATTCGATCTGTTTGACGAACGACGAAAGCGACGAAGATGGCGACGCAGGCCGTGACGGTGCAACGTCGTCACAGTCTACGAATGCGACGGCGGCCTTTTCGCGTCGTGAAACGGTCGATTCGCAGTCTTCGCTCGTCATCGTAGAGGACGAATCCGGAGCACCGTTGGAGGTTGTGGAAGCCGCGGAAGAGGAAACCGCTATCGCTGTACCACCGGAAGACGAACGTGGAGTCGATGCGCTGAGCGTCGATCTCCTGGACGTAGGGATTCAAGAGGTGGTTGTGAGCGTGTGTTTGAATGTTTGCGTGCGTGTGTTTGCATTTTGAGTGACATCTAGCGATTTGTTTCCTTTCATCAGTTTTAGTATTGCACGATTTTTTTTTCTTTTGCTTCTTTTCCATCTGTGTGTGTGTGCCGTTTTCTCCAGGCAAGCAATGCTTCATCGTTGAACAGCTCGGTCGCCTCTCTAGCAGCACCCGGTAGACCACCCTTGCCGGGTAGCAACGGAAATGGCAATGAAGCGGATGAAGGTGGCGCTGTGGTGTTCCGATCGGATTCACTGCGGTCGCTTCCGACGATACGGGTCAGTTCACCGCCGCTCTTGCCTGCGGCCCTGGTTAGAAGTCCGAGCCGGGTAGCTTCGATGGCGAATCCTACCCCGGCGGGAGTCAACCGAAGGTTGGTGGTGAACTGGGTGCGTAGACGTCGGTTGTTCTTGATATTGTTTTCTTTATGATTTTTGAAGAAGGAGACTTCCAACGCCGTTACCGCCGATGCTGCCAAGACAGGCATCCGTTGAGGAAGAGGAAGAGGAGGAAGAAGCTCCTCCGTCGCCACAGGAAGTTCTTCAGTTTGCCGAAGGCGCTGATGAGGTAATCTACGGTTTTGCTTTCCGTGTCGTCGCCGTATCGCTCTGTACTAGTGCTCGTGTGTTTGCGCATCTGAATTTTTGGCTATCGGTAGAAGCTAGTGCTGCCGTGTGGGTATTTGCTAAAGGCATCGCTGTCGGTGGTGGGATTGTATTGATTCGAGCATGTGGAAGTAATCGCTTTTTGGTGTTTCTTTCTAGGACTTGGATCATGCGGCGCAGAACCGTATTCTGCAGCACCTGAACGAGGGCAGTCGCCGTTCGTCGAGTCGGTCATCGATTGGTAGTGCGGGAAGTGCTGGAGTTCACGGTAGAGCAGGAGCAGACGGCGATGAAGCAGACAGTGGTGGAGGTGGACGGCGGTCGTCCACGAACAACAACAACGATACGAGTGATGATCGTTCGTCGACGCGGTCGTCAACGTCGAACGAGAACGATTCGTCCAGTGGCAGTCCCGCAGGAACGGATGTGGTCCTGCCGACCGGGTGGTCGATGCAGTTGGCTCCCAATGGGAGGGTGTTTTTCATCGATCATAACGAGAAGAAGACCTCCTGGGTGGATCCGCGGACGGGACGGGCCAGTCCGATGCCAAATGCGTCGAGCAGTTCGACCGTCAGTGATTCCAGGCGACCGGAGGATGGACTGGCGCCGCTGCCGGAGGGATGGGAAGAACGGGTGCATAGCGACGGGAGGACGTTCTTTATCGATCACAGTAAGACAGAGCTTGAGGTTTTTTTGGAAGAACGTTTGTGGACTGAGATTTTTTCTTTTCTTTTCAGATACCAGAACTACCCAGTGGGAAGATCCGCGTCTTTCGATGCCAAATATTGCCGGACAAGTGGTGCCCTACTCCAGAGATTACAAACGAAAGTACGAGTATCTGAAGGGACAGCTGAGGAAGCCGGTAGGTCAATTTTGAATGAAAGAAGGACTAGGCAGAAGGTCTTTGCGTAGATCAGGAGTGATCTTTGGATGAGCAGTTGGAGTTAGGTCAAGAATTAAAGCCAGGAAGGGCAAATCAAGAATACTAGAATACTCCTGGCATGCCAGAAAAGCTATGTGGTGGTTTCTGGCATTGCTGGAAACGCACTTCTGGCAATCCAAGAAGGGCCAGGTTACCAAAAAAGAGCACTCCTGGAGAGCTAGGAAAGAAACTTCTGGCAAGAAAGAGAGCTGAAAAGTCAAAAAGAACACTCCTGACAAGTCGAGAGGGCACTCCCGATAAACTAGGAAGATCAGTCCTGGCATGTTAGGCAAAGCACTCTCATCACTCATGGCAATCCATAAAAAGTGCAAAAGGGAAGTCAAGAAAGAGCACGCCTGGTTTACCAAGAGGAGTACTTCTTGCAATCCAGGAAGGGCACTTCTTACAAGCTACGAAGAGCACTCATGGGAAGCCAGCAAGGGCACTCATGGTGAGCCAGAAAGAGCACTCTTGACAAGCCAGTAAGATCACTCCTGACAAACCAGTAAGATCAGAAAAAGAGTATTCCTGGAAAGCTCTCTTGAAAAGCCAGTAAAGACAATAAGGCAAATCTAAAAAGCAATCTTGGAACTCCTGGAATGGCGCTGCTGGTTAGCATCGAAAGGAACTTTTAGAAAACCAAAAAAGGGCTGGCAAGTCTGGAAACGCTCCCGGCAGGTCAGGAAGGACTCTCTTGACACGTCAGGAAGGTCACGCATGACAAGTCAGGAACGGCACTCCTGATAAGTCAGAAAGGGCACTCCTGACAAGCTAGGAAGGGCACTCCTGTCAACTCAGGAAGGGCAATCCTGACAAATTAAGAAGGGCACTCCTGACAAGTCAGGAAGGTCATTCCTGAAAATTCAGGAATGTCTCTCCTGACATGTCAGGAAGGGCAATTCTGACAAGTCAGGAAAGGCACTCCTGACAAGTCAGGAAGGGCACTTCTGACAAGCTAGGAAGGGCACTCCTGGAAAGTCAGGAAGGGTGCTCTTGACAAGCCAGGAAGGGCACTCCTGATAAGTCAGAAAGGGCACTCCTGACAAGTGAGGAAGGTCACCCTTGTCAAGTCAGGAAGGGCAATCCTGACAAATTAAGAAGGTCACTCCTGACAAGCCAGGAAGGTCATTCCTGAAAATTCAGGAAGGTCTCTCCTGGCATGTCAGCAAGGGCACTTCTGACAAGTCAGAAAGGACACTCCTGACAAGCTAGGAAGGGCCCTCCTGGGAAGTCAGGAAGGGTACTTCTGACAAGCCAAAAAGGGCACTCCTGATAAGTCAGAAAGGTCACCCCTGTCAAGTCAGGAAGGGCAATCCTGACAAATTTAGAAGGTCACTAATGACAAGTCAGGAAGGTCACTCCTGACAAGTCAGGAAGGTCTTTCCAGAAAATTCAGGAAGGTCACTCCTGACAAGTCAGGAATGGCACTCCTGACAAGTCAGGAAGGCCACTTCTGACAAGCTAGGAAGGGCACTCCTGGAAAGTCAGGAAGGGTACTCTTGACAAGCCAGGAAGGACACTCCTGATAAGCCAGAAAGGGCACTCCTGACAAGTCAGGAAGGTCACGCCTGCCAACTCAGGAAGGGCATTCCTGACAAGGCAGGAAGGTTACACATGGCAGGTCAGGAAGGTCAAGCCTGACAGGTCAAGAAGGTCACGCCTGAAAAGTCAGAAAGTGTATTCCTAACAAGTCAGAAAGCACACTCCTGACAAACCAGGTAGGGCACTCCTGACAAGTCAGGTAGGCACTCCTGACAAATTAAAAAGGGCACTCCTGACAAGTAAGGAAGTTCACTCCTGACAAGTAAGGAAAATCGATCCTGACAAGTCAGGAAGTTCACTCCTTACAAGTCAGGAAGGGCTCTCCTGACAAGTCCGAAAAGTCACTTTAAAGCTAGAAAGGGCACTTTTGTAAAGTCAAAAAGGACACTCCTGTCAAGACAGGAATAAAAATTCGCTACTGATAGCTTCAACGGTCCAAAGATAACCCCAAAAATTTCATTCATCCCTTTCCAGGCCAACGTTCCCAACAAGATCGAAATCAAGGTCCGGCGGGTGTCGATCCTGGAGGACTCCTATCGCATCATCAATTCCATCACCAAAACCGAACTGCTGAAGACGAAGCTGTGGATCGAGTTCGAGGGTGAAGCCGGCCTAGACTACGGTGGTCTAGCCCGTGAGTGGTTCTACCTGCTGTCGAAGGAGATGTTCAATCCGTACTATGGCCTATTTGAATACTCGGCGATGGATAACTACACACTGCAGATCAACCCGTTTAGTGGTCTGTGCAACGAAGATCACCTGCACTACTTCAAGTTCATCGGTCGGGTAGCCGGAATGGCCGTCTACCACGGTAAGCTTCTGGATGCGTTCTTCATCCGGCCGTTCTACAAGATGATGCTGCAGAAGCCTATCGATCTTAAGGACATGGAATCCGTGGACATGGAGTACTACAATTCCCTGCTGTGGATCAAAGAGAACGACCCGAGCGAGCTGATGCTGACCTTCTGCGTGGATGAGGAAACCTTCGGTTACACGAGTCAACGGGAGCTGAAACCGAACGGAGCTGACATCGAGGTCACGAATGACAACAAGGACGAGTACATCAAACTGGTGATCGAGTGGCGTTTCGTGGCACGAGTCAAGGACCAAATGCAGTCTTTCCTCGAAGGGTTCGGGCAGATCGTTCCGCTGAATCTGCTGAAGATCTTCGACGAAAATGAACTGGAGTTGTTGATGTGCGGCATCCAAAGCATTGACGTCAAGGACTGGAAACGGAATACTCTCTACAAGGGCGACTACTACGCAAACCATGTCATCATCCAGTGGTTCTGGAAGGCGGTTCTGTCGTTTTCCAATGAAATGCGATCCCGGTTGCTGCAGTTTGTGACCGGAACTAGTCGGGTGCCGATGAACGGGTTCAAGGAGCTCTACGGATCGAATGGACCGCAGATGTTTACGATCGAGAAGTGGGGAACGCCGGAGAACTACCCGAGGGCGCATACCTGGTAAGTTTAAAAAAAAATTGAATAGCTGAACACCATTCTAACTCTGAACCATCCTGAATTACAGCTTCAACCGATTGGATCTACCACCGTACGAAAGCTACCTGGCCCTGAAGGACCGCCTGATCAAGGCTATCGAAGGCAGTCAAGGATTCGCTGGGGTGGATTAAACCCCACCCGGAGCATTGTAAATACCCGTATCTTTTGACAACCAGTGGAAGAGCCAACATTCCTCTTAGACGAGTCGCAGCAGCTAGTATATCCATCGCTAGAGCAACGCTAGCCTACGGTAGCTATATATAAACATAGACAAAATACATTCTCGAACTCCGTCGCTTCAATAGCTTGACAACGCATCACACCCACAATAGGACACATGACAATCTACTCGTGACACACATACACACATACACACATACATTCTAAGTTCGTACGTTCGTCAACGAACCGAAATCCATAGCTACTCGCAGAAATTCTCTTCTAGCTGCCAAAAACAAAAACCCATTTTCCGCCGCTGCCGCCTACGTTGTTGAGAGAGAGAGAGAGAATGAGTCACCAATTAGTCGTTGTTCCGTGTTAGTTGAAAATCCTAGCAAACCGTTCTAGATAAGAAAAGAAATTTAATCCGAGAAATTATTTGCCTTACTGCACTTGCACCGTTTCGCTTTAACGAAAAAAAAAAATGTTAGAACAAATTGGACGACGCCAAAATTTAGCCAACCTACTTAGCTAACGTTATTCACATGTGTGTAAAACGAAAAAAAAAACAAAAACAAAACAAAGGTAGTTGTTGTCTGTTGATTGTTTGACCGTTTTTCCCCGAATTCCTTTTCCGAATATTGTTACAATGGCAGTTAGTGCACACATGTGTATACCCTTGAGCAAAAGATCAGTTTTCTATTTTATCTAAATGTGGAATCAAACCTACACGAAGAATAATGCTGTTACTTAAGCTGTTAGAGCTTTTATGATGGAAATTATTAAATAGTGAAAGAAGGGGGGGGGGGGGGGCGTTTTAAGATTCGACAGGACCTGACGAGAGAGAGAGGGGGGTGAATTGGACGTGATTTAAAACAAAAAATGCAATTTGTCGATATGATGCAATCTAAACCGATAGAGAAGGAGAGAAAGGGAGGAACAGCAGAATTGATAGAAGGGGGAGACGTCGTTAAATATATATGAAGGTAATTTATAAAAATCAAAGAAATACTACATAGCTAAATATTTTCAAAGTATTTTGAATTCTTATGACAGAATAAAACAGCAAATGTAAAGCATTACGTGAAGCAATTGGATTGGGTTCACTTTTTTTTCCATTAAAGAGATAATATCACTGGCATTGAAAAAAGTTCCGGATCATGGAGAATGTTTGTAGAACAAACTTCTACAGTATCAGACATAAGAGTTATCGTCTAAAAAGTAAGAGTACAGTACTTGTTCGCTAACTGTTCGTTTCTCGACTGGACTGCTTTTTAACTGGGCATTAGTTAACTAGGCTGTATTATCATTATTAATTTATTCGATAAGGCTCAATCGAATTAACTTTACAGAGCGGATCCTTGCTATACAAAACATCGTAAAACTATAGTCAAAAGGTACAGCACAACAAACACTTTGGCCCTTATAACGGTTCTCACTTCCACGTTCACTTGACGCTACACTTCACGCACACATCACTTCACTTGTTTTTACCTATTATTTGCCGGTCTCACGTACAGTGAAGTGATGAAAATAAACTCCGTGAAGTGACAGTGACAGTGAGGTGATGTTCGGAATAGCCATAGGCGTAGCCAGATAGGGGCAGGGGGGGCGACTGCCCCCCCCTAAACTCGGCAACACAAAGGCTTTCGAGGAAATGGCGTTCGGTGAAATGGCATTCGGCCAAATTTTCCATGGTAATTTTTTTTTCGCCCCTCCCTAGCTCGAAACCTGACTACGCCCTTGGGAATAGCCCTGTTCATTTCTCGTGACGTTCGTAATTGACTGCAAAGAACTGTCACGTGCTTATCTGCTGTTTTGTTTTGAAAATCGACGGAAGATTCCTTCTTCTTAGTGGAAAATATGTCCAAATTTTCTTTTTGTCTTCAACTTACTGTTTCATGATTTCAACAGTTTTAAATTTATGTAACACGCATGGAAAATAAGGAAATCTCTAAAGCTTTCTGGACTTGTCAGCCAATTGAATCTATCATGTCCAGAGTTGTATTGTATTGCACGTGATGATGATTGTACGTATTTTATATGTCAGATTTTATTCAAGCAAATTACAGCTTTGTCCTCTGCATGCTTTATTTGATGTTAACTACCCGAGCAAAGTCCAGCATCAAAATGACAGCAAATTGAAATCAAGATTTGATATCAACATCAAACTGAAATCATAATTTGATTTCAGTTTCGCAATTCACAAATTTGATACCAAATTTTGTTTTCATTTTGCTGTACATTTGCTCTTCAACAATATGTTGTTACGGGTTTGTTTTCATTGCCTTAGCATAACATCAAATTGAATACTTGTTTTGTTATCAACAGGAAAAATTGATATCAAATTTAGTTTTCAGTTTGCTCTCACTGATAGCAGAAATAGTTTTCTATGTGATGTTACAGGAAGATTTTTTTGCTCTCAATTTTGATATTTTAACCGTTAAAACGACCAAAACGACAGCAACCTGAGCAATCATTATCAGCTAAATCACAACATCAAACTTAGATTTCAATTTGATCTCAAACTTTGCTCGGGTATATTCACTCAACTTAGAGCTCCGCATTTTTCGAAAACACTATTTCGGATTAGTATTTTTTTTTGTTAATAAAAAAAATACCATAAACAAACGGTAACCCAAATAAGTAAGTAACACAAATGGTTTGGATGATACCCCGAACACACCTTTAAGCAAAATAACCATAACAATTCTATTATTGTTATGACGGTCACAAAATGGTCCTCATGATGATCCAGAACAACCATAGTGATCAACTCATAAAGCTGATTCTATAGTAAAAGTTTAAAATCTCTTTGCACAGAAGTCAAATCGATTTGCGGTCTTTAACAAACTTGTTCTGCGTTTTTTCAATCTTAGTCTGCTTGATCAAATATTCAAGGTTCATCGGAATAGTTTTGGTAAAACACTTCTTATAAGATTGCCCATTTTTAAATGATAAATTTCCCTTATCTGAAACTTCTTGCAATTAGCGGACTTTCAGTTAAAAGTTTTTTCAACTATCCAACGTCTACTGTATTTAATTTTAAATTTTATTTTAGTTTGTTGTTTGTGGGGTACGTTAATCGATTAGCTTGGGACCAATAGGCTAGTCAAGTTGTGAGCCAATTTAAAATCGTTAGTTTCCACCGGTTGGTATCAGGGCATTCACGTGGTTCAAGCCATTTCAGGCCACTTTTGCGATTTTAACTATTTATGCACTTACCTTACCTTACCAATCAGACTAAGGCCTTGTTGTCCTCTGCTGTCCGAAGAAGTCGTCTCCACTCTGCTCGACCCATGGCCACACTTCGCCAGCCTCGTAGCCTTCGAAGGGTCCGCAGGTCACCTTCTACTTGGTCGATCCACCTTGCCCGCTGCGCGCCTCTTCTTTTTGTTCCTGTTGGGTCGCTTTCTAGAACCATTTTCACTGGGTCGTCGTACGGCATTCTTACGACGTGCCCAGCCCACCGTATTTCGCCCATTTTTGGCAATGGACGGTTCTCCCAGCAGCTGGTGCAATTCGTGGTTCATTCGCCTCCTCCACGTTCCGTTAGCCATCTGCACTCCACCGTAGATGATACGCAACACCTTCCGTTCGAAAACACCAAGGGTGCGTTGGTCCTCCACGAGCATAGTCCAGGTCTCGTGGCCGTAGAGGACCGTCTAATCAGCGTCTTGTAGACAGTCAACTTCGTACGGCGGCGAATTTTATTCGACCAGAGCGTCCTCCGGAGTCCAAAGTTGGCATGATTCCCTGCCATAATGCGTCTTTGAATTTCTCTGCTGGTATCATTTTCGGCGGTCACCAGTGAGCCCAAATACACGAACTCATCCACCACCTCGATTTCGTCACCGTCAATCTGAACTTGGGGTGGGAGGCTAACATTGTCTTCCCTAGAACCTCTTCCTTTCATGTATTTTGTCTTTGATGCGTTGATGGCAAGTCCAATCCGTCTAGCTTCAGCCTTCAGTCTGATGTACGCCATCATCTCAAAGTTCCTTGCCATAATATCAATGTCATCGGCAAAGCCAAGGAGCTGGATGGACTTCCTGAAGATCGTGCCACTCGTGTCTATCCCAGCTCTTCTGATCACACCTTCTAACGCGATGTTGAATAGCAGACCCGAAACCCGAGCAAAGTAAAATATCAAATTGATAACAAGTTCTATTACCCGGTTATCACTTTTTGATAACTGAATATGTTATCATTATGGTTCATCATTAACAGCCAACATAACAAAAACGATAACAAAAAATTGCTCGTTGGATATCACAAAAATAACTAATTTTGTTTTCATTGATAATATCTTGATAACAAATTCTGTAAGCCATACAAATTTATTCCATAAATTTCAAATCATGTTATCATTTTGATATCAAAGCCTTACGCTGATAACTGAAATATGATTTGGGATTAAAAGCACTATTTTTTATTGTTTTGATGCGAATAATATTTGAAGTTTTGAACTAACCTTGCATCGTTAATAAATATATAGTGAATTTTTCATGATAACAACTGATAACAAAATTGATCAAGGCTGATAACTAAATAAGTTATGCGATAACAACTGAAAACAAAATGATATCTGGGATAGCAAGACTTGTTATCTAGATGATATCGGGTTGTTATTCTACTTTGTTCGGGAAGTCCATCACCTTGCCATAACCTCCTTCGAGATTCAAAGGGACTCGAGAGTGTCCCCGATACTCGAACAACGCACATCACTCGATCCATCGTTGCCTTGACCAATCGCGTCAGTTTATCCGGAAATCCGTACTCGTGCATAATCTGCCATAGCTGATCACGATCGATTGTGTCGTATGCGGATTTGAAATCGATGTACAAATGATGTGTGGGCACGTTGTATTCGCGGCATTTCTGCAGAACCTACCGAATCGCGAAAATTTGGTCCGTGGTAGCGCGGTCACCCATGAATCCCACCTGGTATTGCTCAACGAACTCTCTTGCAAATGGTGACAGACGGCGGCATAGAATTTAGGAGAGTACCTTGTAGGCGGCGCTCAGAAGTGTGATCGCGCGGCAGTTGCAGCAATCCAAATTGTCGCCCTTTTTGTAGATTGGGCATACGACACCTTCCATCCACTCCTCCGGTAATATCTCCTCCTCTTAAATCTTGGCAATTACCCAGTGCAGCGCTCTAGCCAGTGCTTCACCGCCGTATTGTAATAGCTCACTTGGTAGTTGATCTACACCAGTTGCTTTGTTGTTCTTCAGTCGACCGATCTCCTCCTCAACTTCTTGAAGATCAGAGGCCGGTAGCCTGTCGTCTTCTGCGCGTGCTCCAAGGTCTGTTGCCGTGCCACCTTCGTTTTCTGCTGCATCACCGTTGAGGTGCTCGTCATAGTACTGCTTCCACCTCTCAATCACCTCACACTCGTTCGTGAGAAGGTTACCGTTTAAGTCCTTGCCCATATCGGCTTGCGGCACGTAGCCTTTGCGCGAACTATTTAGCTTCTCGTAGAACTTCCGTGTGTCGTTTACGCGGTACAGATTTTCCATCGTCTCGCGATCTCGGTCTTCCTGCTGACGCTTCTTCCTTCGGAAAACCGAGTTTTGTCTGTACCGCTCCACATTCAATCTCGTGCGGTGTTGCAGCATTCTCGCCCGTGCTGCATTCTCACCCGTGCTGCATTCTTCTCCTCTACTAACAGTTTGCATTCGCCGTCAAACCAGTCTAAATTCTAATACTACACAATGTTTGTTTTGAATCACTATGAAAGTTTGACAGATAAAATGAGGAGTTTGTAAATTTTCCCATGTTTCGAGGGGTGCATCGATTAGCTTGGGACCGAAGATAGTACCAGAGCTGAGCCAAAAAGTTGAGCACGTTTCTTCGGGACCTACTACTCTTAGAGTTACATCTATGATTGTAGCGAGGAGCAGCGGAACGAGATAAAAATGTTAATCAAGCAAGGTAAAACTTACAAGGAGATACAGGAAACAGTGGGATGCTCCGCTAAAATGATAAGCAATGCATTAAAATGGAAAGGCAAGGCTGGAAGCGTTGTACTTCCCACAGCATCGACAGAAAGATAATAAAACTGGCACGGATTGATCCACCTACGACC